CCCTTTTGAGGATCGAGCCGCCACCCCGGGCATTTGCCTTGACTAGAATCGGAACCCGGGGGACCCTTCCATGTCCGAAGGGCGGACACTTTATCCCGCTGAGGCAAACCAAGCCAATGCCAGGCTTATTTTCTTTTTAAAAATGTATTGATTTGATTTGAGAGAGAGAGGAAGGGAGAGACATACACAGAGAGAGATATCAATTTGTTGCGCCATCCATCCATGCACTCATTCGTTGATCCTTGCATGTACCTTGACCCACTGAACCCCCATCACTGGCACGTCCAGACGATGCTCCAACCAAATGAGCTACTTGGCCAGGGCCAGGCTTATTTTCTCATGCATCTTGTCTGAAGCTTTTGGGGACAGATTTCCAATGCCCAGAGGAACAGTAGATGGCAAGTTTTATGGTTTTTATCTTTTAACCAATTTGAGGGAAACTAATTTGAGACAAAATTAAGGTGAGTTTTGTAAGACATTTTTATTTTTAGCTTGGGGTAATGAAGCATTTTAGTTTTGTGAATAAGTTGTAAATGTCCAGTTTGGGTGTGTAACTGGCAGGGGGTGGGGGATTTTTGTGGGGGGTGGGGAGCAAGATATGTTTTGAGTTCTTTTCTCCGTAGGTCTGTCTAGAATCTCAAAGGCAAATTACTCAGGGTAACAGAAAAAAATAAAATCCAGTTTCAGGATAATCAGAACACCACAGGTTTACAGTTTCTAGAGACTAGAACCTGAGCAGTTCTCTCTTTGAGGTCTGTGGTGGAGAAATGGCTGGTGGTTATTCTTTTTCCCACCCCTTAATCAGATTTTTAAAGTATGTAACCCCTTAACTTTACTTGAAGTATTTGGGGGTGGTCTTAACAGGGAAGAGGGTGAAGGAGAAAAAATAGAAAATCTGCTTAGTACCATAAAAATATATGCAAATGAATGTGATAGAAATAAATACCTTAGAATGGAAAAGAAAAGCAGTAATTAATTCATATTAATCAAGGTAGACTTCCAGCAAGTGGCTCTGGTTCCTACACAGAACAGTCAGTAGAAGAAACTAGGTAGTGATCTGCCAGGACCCCAGATTAAGATCTCTTTAGTCAGGAGTGCCCTCAAGTATTTACTAGAAGTCCTATCATAACAACTTGATCTATCCTTCTTTTTGTCCTTGTTGGCCAAGTTTCCTAAGGCAAAACTGGGCTGGCCACCAATTTGTCCCCCTTCACCAGAGAGAAGTTAGATGAAATCATCCAACTAAAGTGTTGGAGGAAAAAGCCCTATTTTAGTTTTG